ATTTATATATTATCATTATTATTCATTTAAGTATTCCAATATTTATTTAATTATTTTCATTTTATTGTTTATCATTATTATTAATTTATTTTTATTATTATTGTTTATTGGTTAAACACTATTTACTTAGTTGCAATTGATCTGGATGTCTACTATGGCATTGCATTATACGATGTTTAATTGATTAATATGCTTGCATTTAATGTGCAATACTTGATTAATTGGGTTGTGAATAATTGCTGTGATTTGTTTGTGTGAATGGTGGGATGAAGTGGGGTCACCATGGTTTTGTTTTGAGGACGGTCGATAAAGCATGGATCCTGAATTATGGATGAATTTATGAAACTGGATCGCGTTCGGCCGGGTAAAATGGGAGATCGCGCCCCGTGAGTGCACCTAATGTTACCGGTTACTGTTAACACAGGTGGCTTCTTTATTTTTGGGCGCACACGGATAACTTAGGTTTGATCGCAGCCCGGGGTGGCCTCTGTTGTGAGCGCCTTTAGATGATCGTAGATTTGATGGAGACGACCGGGTTGCCATCCTGTTGGTAAAAATGGAAAGGGAAAAAAGAGGGAATGGAAAAACAATGAGAGGGCTGGGTCAAGTGAGGATTAGACCGGTCCCGGCCCAGTATGGGGATCGGCTCCCTGGTGCACAGATGTCGGTTATGAGAGGTGGGCGCATGGTGGGAGGACGGCTCATCGGGGGTTTTCGGTGACGCCACAGACCATTTTTATTCCACCGGTGATGTGATTATATAAAGATGTTTAATATTGTGAGTGCTGGTGATATGCCATTTTGTGTGGACTGGCTGTGTGAGCCATATAACCAGTGCCATGACTAGATGATATATTTATAACATTTGTGTGAATGCCGTGTGTTTTGTGGCAATAAATATTACTCGCTTAGAAAACTCACATCTCTTTTGTTTAAAATCTTTCCCAGGAAGTAGCATTTTCGCCTAAATTCCAGCTTTATAGCTCTGCTCCTTTCCGCTTTTAAAAAGAAATTCTCTAATTTTAGTTTTGATCTATTAAATAAGATAAATGTCCGAGGCTTTGTCTGTATACAATCTGTTAGTGAACTCCGCAGTTTGTTAGAATTTGTGTAAGCAATTAGTCCGTGTATAACATAGACGATATAATTACGTGAGCCATATTAAACGATGTGGATGTATTGTTTAATTGGAGGGCCCGACTGTGAAATTTTGTAGAAGATAAATTTTGGGCGAGATGTAATAAAATCTTGAGATTTATTTTTCCAGTAATATGGACTGAATGATTTGAAATTTATATTGAGATAGTAAGTTGTATGTGTTTTTAGGCTTACTAACGGGCTTCGGGGGCTTTAAGCTTAACCGGGGCTCTAAGTGCCGTCCGGCCATGGAAGACGGGTCGTGAACAATAAGTTACCAAATAAAGAATTTGTAATATTGAGATCGGACAAAAAAAAAAAAAAAAAAAAAAAAAAAAAAAAAAAAAAAAACATGGTTACATTTAATAATGATAAATTACCTTGTATTTTGATTGTTTAACAAATATATTAAAAAAACTTGAAAATTAATAATAGTCATTTAAATATTATAGTGAACCTGTTTTTTGAATTTCAGAGGACATTGCAAAAGGGGCAACGAGATAGATGTTGCCTTAATGCATAATAAATTTATATAATTTATGAAAGTTAGCCATTATAAAAAGACTGAATATATAAATTTACACATGAACTTCGCAACTTTAATATTATGATAACCTAAACATTAATATTATATACCTTTCAACACTAATATCAATGATTTTTTGAGAGTTTTTGGATTTTATTTATAAATATCGATTTAATATATAGTTAGCACGACTTTTGAAATAATAATTTTCATAAATTTTAATTTTTTAATAAGTATTTAATTAATCTAATTTTACAAACTGAAGTATTCAATAAAATAATTTTGAAAATTAAAGTGTTAAATAGATGTAATTTCATAAGTTAAAATGTGCGATGGGTCAAAGCAAAAGTTGAAGTTGTCACAAAATTAAAATAAGAAAGTTTATGGATAATTTATGTATTGTGCCATTATAAAAAGCATATAATTAAATTGAATGAAAAGAATAGAACTATTTATTTTTATCTCAATCACTTATTATTTATTTAACTATTTTATGCAAATGTAAGTAACACAAACAGGTCGAAATAAATAAAGTAATTTTGAAAGATAAATAACAAGCGAGAAGAGCGAATATAAATAATGAGTACAAATACATACAATTCACGTCGGAAAAAACTAGTTAATAAAAAAAATTAAGAAAAACTTAGTATCACGAACCATTTAGGCCCCGGCCAGCATGTCGAACCATACACCCGACCTATTAGTTTGCAATAAAAGAAACATCATATGACAAAAAAAAAAAAAAATGGAACCTCTGTCCAAATGAAATAGCCTGCATTTGGAATAGAACTCAAGCAATCTCATAAGCTGCCATACTAGCTTGGCATCAAACTCATGAAACCGTAACTAAATTGGTTTCATTTGACAACTTCTAACATTCTAGAATGTTTTGGTAAAATTCATTAGAACCTATAACCCGAAACCAAGCTTTAATTTGTCAAACTTATTTCGAATCTGTCTCTACCTCTGTGATGCAACCCTTCGTTCTTCTACCAGGAAAGAGCGTCTAGGACTGTCACTGCTTTAGCAAAAAGAATAGTGTTATAACTAATGAAAGCACCTCCTGTAGCAACAAGAAAAGCCCCAATCCATTAATTTAGCAGTCCTCCAAAAGCCATCTGCCACTGCCCAGGACCACATGCAACATCAACATTGATTTTGCAAAAACCAAGAACAGTACGACGCCAATACAACTGAGTAGGACCTGCAGGCCCAAAAATGCCTGAACCCGTTAAACCTGATGCAGTAGATTCAGTCAAGATTGAGTTGAGCATCTTGCGAAGAGGAAAAACAGTAGATAGCAATTGTAGCATGTTTACCTTGCTAAACACACAGATTTCGATGATGCCAAAGACTAATGAGAAGATTGCAAAACTTTTCTAATTCATTTTGAAGCTGCTGCAAAATTGAAAATACAAAAACTCCCAAAATTGACAAACCGATGTGAAGTCTCAGCATGAGCACTAGGTCCAATCCGCTAAACTCTAATTTGGATTAGGTTCACTCAAGGGTTTTGTGTAGTCGCTGTTTAAATTTAATTATGAGGTAAAGATAATAGAAGTGCACTACTCGATAAAACCAATGAGAATTGAGGGACTAAGTTTTCAATTAAATGATCAATTAATTGGCCAGTTATTAATGTTCGATCCAATATTAAAATAGGTTTGAGACGAAGAAGAATGTCATTTATACCAAAACTATAAAATAAAGCAAGAAACAAAATAAATTACAAAATAAGGGAGTATTGCCTTGATGAGTGAAGTCTACAACAATCACATATCTCTCGATCCAAAGAGAAAAGAAAAGGAAAATAGAGTTTTCGGTACATTTGGTCCGCAACTCGAGTTTAGAGAGTCGAGTCTGCCTGCTTATTCCTTGGAATAATAATCAAATCTAAGTAGTTTTTTCCCCTTGTGAAATGAAATTGGTTGATTTTAATTATGAAAGGTTAATTGAACACTTTTAATTATCATACTCTAGTGCGGATTGTCATTTTCATGAAAAGAGTGATTTTGGATTTGAATCACTAAAAATGGATTTTCTAAGTTGGATTGCCGAATTTTGGATTAAAAATGAATTTTAGCTTTGGATTGCCATTTTGGAAATAAGAAAGGCTTTTAATTTAAAAGAAGAGAGCAATATCATTTTTAATCAGCCAGTTTCCTATTTGAAAAAGTTAGAAAATAATTTTTCAGTTTTATAAAATTTAACTAAGACTTGAAAAATAGCTTTAAGTTATTTTCCACGGTTTCTAGTTGTTACTAAAGATGAAAGCGAGATGGATTTTCGTGGGTACCTGACCGTAAAAATCTATTTAAAGCAGATTAATTAGGGTATTTTTTTTAAATGAGTTTGAGATAGATATGAGTTTCAAATTAACTATTCATCACGGTTTTGAATTGAGTTTGAGTTTAAAGCTGCAGGTACCCTCTATCCACCATAACCCATTGATATAGTTTAAAAATGTTAGATATAATAAATTTTAAGTGAAAATTTAATTGTACTATTTGGCTCAATATTTTACTGAAGGGTAAATAAATTAAATTCAAGCCTAAAACTCCAAACCCTAATATCATCAAAGTGGATTTTCGAGAGTGTCCAATCATCCAACCCTTTTAAAATGAGTTTGGGTATTAATTCAATGGATATAGAACTGGTGCGAGTATTAAAATTTTAAATGAGTTTGAGATGAACACAAGTATCCAAATTTTTAAGAAAGTTTGAATATGAGAAATGCAAATTTGGCAGGTACCTGCCCAGCTTCTATCCCTAGTTGCTACTATGAAGTTTTACATTAAAATAATCTTCAAGCAAAAAGATATAATATTATCTCTTCTAATTTTAGTTTTATTATTCCAAACAATATAAACAATTCTTTTGATTTTTTGAAAGATAAATAAACTGTATATACTCACATTAAAATTCTATGTCTGATAGTATTTATTATAAATGTTGAATTATATTGTTGAAATTATTTTTTTAAAAATACCATTTTATGTATTATAAAAAAATAAAAAATAATGAATGACTAATTTCAAAACACTTTTACGTTCTAAAATTCGAGTGGATTAAAAAAAAAAAAAAAGCTTACTTTTAGTTGGCTGCTGTCTAGTAAAGACCTTCCTGCTATAATTGGACCCATGGTTGCAGCTGGATTCTCCAGTATGGCTCTTAGTAGGGAATAGCCAATTTCAATTATGAGCAAACACACACTTTTTCAAACTCATATCTAAGAAAATCTTGGCACTTGATTTCATACATTAAATAGGAAATGCTTTGAAACATTTGGCAAATCCAAATAAATTGAGATAGTTATATTAATTATTTATATAATAGAAGTACAGAGTAGGAGAAAACATAACTATCATTAGGTCGTTCTTAGGGAATAAGGATGGCTGTGCTTTCCTCCAAGCATTTCTTTGTCATTCTCCTTGTTTTCTCAGGTTTCTTTATTTGTTTATTTTTTATTTCCGCATTATTTTTTTAAAGAGAGGACATTTTATTCAATAAGCAAATTCAAATCATCAAGAACCAGAGCTTCAATATTTTGAAGAAATTTATACCAAATTTAAAAATTAGTATAATGCATGATCAACTTTATTCATTTGTCTTCGCGCTTAATTTCTGTCTTTTTCTTTTTTTAACTTAAACCCTGATTTGTTTATCGCAGTTACGGTCGTAATACACAAAGTGGAAGCCGAAACATGCCGGCATATACTTCCAAGTCTTCCAAATCTAATAAACAAAGAAGGCAATTGTGTGCTTCGTAGTTGTATAAGGTTTTGCAGATTTTTACAGGAAGGAGAAGGAGAATGTTCTAATTTTAGCCCACACACGCGTTGTATGTGTAGCTGGGAATGTTAATGATTGATTAATCAGATTCCAATGGGATTTATTACTATATGAACATCTATCAAACAACAGAAAATACAGCAAACTAGTAATACAAGTACAGTAATCCTTGTCTGGCATAGAACAGTTTGTATACTGATTATTGTTTGATGAATAAAATAATTTGTCAGTAAAACATTTGATCGATACATATATTTTTAGGAGAATCTCATCAGACAGCGATGGATAAAACAAAGACAAATTGTATTTGGCCTGCATTTCGTACACATGCTAAACAGTTTAATGAACTCACATGTAATGGATGAAAGAATTCAAATCCCATGTGGTATGAATGTATTCCAAATTCCAAATCGTCATTTCGAGTGTCTGCTGTTTGTTTATATGATTCTGTCATGATTGAAAATTTATCATCCCTGGAAAGATTAACCAATATGGTTAGCATCTGATAAAGATCGACTATCCAAGATATGAAAGTAGCTGCCAAAATAAAAAGCACATGATCAAGAATTGCATCGTGGAGGCAAAAGGAAAAAGGACAACATTTTTGCTGTAAGGGTCCAGGCATTAACCACTATCTATACTACACGAACTGCAGTTGATTTATTTACTGACTTGTATGGTAGATTTCACTTGATTAAGAACTAGAAGAACTAGATGGATTGAAGTTTAGCTATCCTATCCTGAAACTTCTTTAAACAGCATCCAATAGCAGCAAAAATGTTTACATTTTGCATGTTCACTTAAAAGTTTAATGGGTTATTATGGCATGTATAATTCACTAGCATTTTGTAATGCTTATCAGGACCAAATTGGAAAAACAAAATTAAATCCTCAGAAGCAAGACCCGAAACTGGTGATGCTATGAACTTTATAGCATGTGATCTCATCCCCATGAAACAAGTGGACAACACTTGGGGTCTGTTGGCAGGGCCAACCATGAGAGATTTTTCTCGGTCAAATCGAAACACAAAATGCCATCTTAAAGTATCATAAGATTCCTGATAACCAGAAATAATTCGAGATCAAAAAGGATGAAACGAAAGCACAGAGCTTAAATTTACAAAGCAAAATTAAGGAATTGTGATGCCAAACATTGATAAGGATACTCCCAGTCAATGAAACAATAACAGGATGCAGTTCCTTCTAACCTAGAGATCTTTGTTTGGTTTTCAGCCAGTCCATCAACTGTCCAGACAACTAAAAAAAAAAAAAAAAAACTAAACGATTTGAAAAATGACTAAAAGCAAAGTTCAAGCCAAGTGCATCTCAGAATCTGATGTTGAAGAAATAATCACATGAATAAAATCACCAGAAATATCTGGATGATTGATTAGGATGACCAGAACTGTCAGCATAATGATGCATAATGGAACAAAATTCAATTTAGAACTGTTATTACCTTTGTGCATAGAGTCTAATTCTTAATCATTGTGGTTTGAAAATTGCATGCAGGAAATAATATGGCTTACAAGGTAAAACACCTTTATGTGAAGATGTAAGTATGAAAATTTCCTGATATCAGCTGTGTACTTTGAAGCACTTCAGATAAGGAAATAGCTGAAGCAATTCATCACGGCTCCGTCTCTGCAAGAAAACATGTAATTAACAAATTGATTGAAAATACAAGAGACTTAACAAACCGAGAGAAATAAAAGTGAAGCAAAAGAAATACTTCAATCTTTCACTGACATGGGACTGAGCATGTTCTCGTGCCTATGTTGACTACACTACATGTATGTGCACTCGCTTGAATACACGGTTAAGCAACCCCATGAACATTGCAAAGTAACATCTTATCAATACTTGTGTTAACCCCTAACGCTCTTGGTATGGCCACACAACCAAGGAGTACCACTAGCAACTGAAGTTACAATAATGAAAATATATAGCAAACCATCTCATATAAGATTGATGACACATTACTCCACAGTATGTAGGAGGATTAACGTTATCACCTACCCCAAATTGGCAGGAATTCACGATTTACAGTGCATTAAATACTGTGGAAGTATAGAGGAGGTGGAAAAAGAAAATAGCAAATAACATGGCAAGATGTGAATATTTAGAAGAAACCATCCTAGTGAATCACCTTATTGAATTTACTGGAAATGCAAGACTATAAATTTAACAATTTCAAATAAACAACTAACAATTTTTTTTATTCACATTGTGATAAAAATAGTTCTCAGCAGTACATAACCAACATAGTCAGAGTATAAGAGGACCTAGAAATTCTTGTTGCTTGGGTTTACAGCTTTAAACTAAAAGCTTATCAGACAGGACCCCACAACTATTAACTTGCACATAAACAACCCATGCCCTTCACAAGAAAGAGTTACCTTTATGCCAATGCATCCATTCACATCAAGGGTTGTAATTGTGTTTGAGCAGAACTTTGAAAGAGCTTCCAGGCACTTGTCAGTCACACCAACTATTCCAAACAAACTGCAGCATTCTTTCCAAGACATCAGAGACAGGACTATAGCGTGAAATTGCACATTTGAATGAGAGAACAAAGTAGACCGCATGCTATCAATATTATCCGTAATTATCTATATATTATTCTCAAGTGATTAGTAATTTGTAAAATTTACGACAATGTTAAGAATATTGAGCAAATATTTCCCCATGATACTTGCCAGATATTGGAACTTTTGGTTAGCAGCAGAATGATCGTAGATAGCAATGCCTGAATGACAGATAGCAGGCTTAACAAACTCTTTCAGTTAAGTGCTCAAGCAGGGCAGCTGCTTACAGGTGGTTGAATAGTCAATAATGTTTTGTACGACTTCTTGTTGTTTGAACATTGGTACAGACTCACTTAAACATCAATATCCCAAGACTATTATATCTTTTCTACTATGCATGGTCAATAAGGAGGAGGAATAAAGGATGCTTTTTTTGGGTTTACCTGAGAAACTCGAGACGGGTGCAACCTTCGGCAATAGCTAAAACCCCCACATCAGTGACTCGAACACACCTAATGAAAGAAAAGAAAGAAGTTATATGTAATTATATCTTCTTATTCCACAACTTTTTATAGACCTGTTATTTTACTCACCAGGTCAAATTGAGGGAGACAAGATTCTTGCATTTAGCTATACAAGAAAGTCCGTCATCAGATAGATTCTGAAAAATAAATTGCAATGTATATAAGCCTTTGGCAAAACTGGATGTAAAAGCTTGTTCAGAAAGGAAGCAGACTTTCACCTGGGCACCACATAAATCTAAGAATCTTAAGTCAGGTAGATTTGATATGTTCTTGTAAGCTTTGTCAGTGAAGCTGAAAGGAATCAAGCAGAACATAAGCCCCATAATTTTGAAATGCATGTACTATAACAAACTTTAAAACAACATTGAAGACATCAGTACTAACTTTGAAAGGGCATAAAGATTTAAACTCTGGAGAGAGGAGCACTTGGACAATATTTGTTGCAAGCCACCATCTGTTAGCTTGATGCACCTGAGAACACCAAGACAATAAAAATATGCACATACCCTCAGTAAGAACTAATCAAATTTGGTACCTCAATAACCCAATCATTGGACTGGAAAATAATTTAGGATGTAAATTGGTGTGTTGTTGATAGGTAAATAATTATTTCCCTTATTTGTTAAGCAGCTTCTGGTAACTTAATACTTTGTTCAGACATGAATAAAAATAAATAATTTGATACATTTCAGAAGCAGACAACATTTAGAACCTTTTTCTATTTAAATAAGCTTGATCTCATAAAAATTTAATGAGAACCAACTGCATACCTAGTCAGGTTCAACAACTCTAAGTCTTGATAATTGTCTCCAACTAATTGCAAACTTTTGTCTGTTATATTCTGCAATAACAAAAAGGAAAAAAAATGGAAACAAAATTTTATTACTGATTAATTGAGTTGTATGGGACAAGTGAATTGTCATTAATTCAGGCAAATTTGCGTGTGTTCTCCTTTTCCCTATTCTCTTTCATATTCCAAGGAGTTTCCAAATGTTTCCGTGCAGAAAACGTTTCCAAAACACAGAAACAGCAGTCAAAGTAAGTTTCCGAGCAACATAGCTAGCAAGCATCTTATGATCATATTACAACATCACTCCCTTTCAAAGTCTGCACTCAAATATATTTTGATTTCCTTCATATTTCAGCATAGTATACAGAAATAACCAGCATCAAATGTAGGATCAAGTACCTTACAACCACTCAAGTTCAAATCAACTACATGTTTGCAGTTCTCTACCAAATGCTTTATACTGACATCTGTCACTCTGAAGCTCAACCCACATACAAAACTTGTTAGCGATGAAAAACATTACTCCCTACTATTGCACATTTGCAAATCTAGTAAATTTCAAGTACCTCACATTCCAATAAATAGAAAAGACTTTGAGATTTGGACAAGCACCAGTTACAGCTTCTATTCCCTTGTCAGAAATTTTCTGGCAGCCATTCAGGTTTAAAGACTCCAGGTTTTGAAGAGAATTGATAAACTGAAATCTCAAAATTCATCAGTATAGTTTTCACAGAGAGGAAATTAAATTTTAAATTGTATAAAGTAAATTTTACAACAAATTTTTAGATTCTACTATCAAGATTAAGGTAAACTCTGTGTTCTTATACTAAAATCCCTATTGCAAAGATAAATTTGGGCATTACTATTCTATACAATAATAAGTTCTAAGAATATTTTTTAACTTTAAGGACAGATTTGCCTTCTTTTTTTCTGTTTACTGAAACTAAGAATCAAGCTTTAATATTTTTATCTAAATCATTCACGAATCCTTAATTGTAGCTCTTTATAAATGAAAAGATAGGTCCAGTACAACTTTGCAACGTTATCAAATTTCAACTACCTTGCTTTGAAGGACTTGAAGATGTCTGTCTTCAATATCTTGTGCAAATTCAAGGCTAATCTGCTTCACATGCTGGTATCTTGACTACAAAAACAAAAGAAACATTGAGCTTCACGACACCGTGTCAACAAACAAATATTTGCGAGTTTGTGAAAATTACCAGTGAAAGAGCTGCTATAAGCCTATCTCCCGCCTTGCTCATCTCACGAAAATCAAGAACCTTAAATTAAATAAGAAGAAGAACCCATATCAAGAAAAGCATTTAAATTGTATACTGATCAAAATTAAGAGTTGGAGAGAAGGAAATTATACGAGCCAGAGAGAAGGGTAGGAGATGAGAGTGCGGTGGAGCCAAGGGCTGACAAGTAGAAGTGAGATAAGGTCTTTTTGAGGAAGTCTTGCGCTGACTATCTTCATTACTCTTGGGATTGTTTCTCTGCTCCATGTTAACTCGTCTTCTGCTTCCTTGGCTTCCATTCTAGACAGAGTCGGACAGAAACTGAAAGACGGCAATGGGTTTGGCCAAGCTGTGGTTTTTTTGTTTTTTATTTTCTTTTTTTTTTTTAAATAAATAAATAAATGACTATTTGGCTCATAATGGAAACTAGCTCATTATGCACCCCAAACTTGGCTCTTTTATTCAATTTGCTCCAATTTCAACTTTATAGCCAAGTCACTCAGGTAAAAATGTCAAATTGCTCATAATTGGTCAATGCACGTAAGAGAGTTTCTCTCTTCTTGATGGGTAAGGCATAGCTTAAAGGAGCTGATTCGAGCGTTCCAAAACAACAGGTTCAAACATAATATACAGAGAGATTTTCAATTCCCAATTAAATCAAAAATCAAAGTCACAAATAGATTTTAAGCTCATAAATCTGCAAGAGTAAATATTTATTAAGTCAGCTTAACGTTATAAAAATATCATTGCTCTGTAATTAACAAACCTTGCTCCGGAAATAAGGCTATTCAAAAATTAATTTATTCCATCTCTGTTTCAAAATACTCGTTACATTTACAATTTTACGTCTCTTAAGAAAATTATTAAATTTGTTTAAATTATAATGAATTATTGAGTAAATTGACTATATTATATTTTATTTTAAAATTAATTCTCTAAGAAAATCATTTAATTGAAGTAATAATTATTAGTCATATATAAAGAATAAATATAGAATAAAAAATATTTATTACTCAGTTAAAATGTAACACATATTTTAAAAAAATTAAATTTTTAAATGTGAAAAATATTATGAAACAAAAATAATAATTTCTTTCGGTCGCTGTTCACGTGTGGGATAAAATTGTGAGCAATTTTTGACAAATTAATCGGCTGTGAAGTTAAAATTTGGATAAACTACGTGGGCCAAATTCTGGGTCAAAACGAGCTATTTATTCATCAATTTTAGAAACTCAACCAAGGTGGTCGCTTAACCTGCACAGCCATATATAATGGCTGAAGTGTGAGCGAAGACAAACTAAAGCAGAAAATGATCTCCAAAACCCACAAATCTTTAATTACTGTACGAAACTTGTTGCAGCCAAAAACTCCGTTGGAACCCAACAACAACCGTAATCATCTTTACCATTTTCTTCTCCAGTGTCGATCCATTGTTAAGGTCAGGCTTAAATGGGTGAAGAACCGTAGCCTCGACCACATAATTGATAGAGAGACCGATCTTAAGGCGGCTTGTCTCTTAAAGGACGCAATCAAGCGCTCTCCCACTGGCTTTCTCACTGCTAAGTCTGTTGCTGATTGGCATAAGCTTCTTGGCCTTACTGTGCCTGTTCTTCGCTTCTTGCGCAGGTCTTTTGCTTTTTCTCTTCTTTCTTTTTTGGCCTTAAAATGGGTGTGTGCAGTGAAATTTAGAATCTTTTTATTCCTCATTTGATTATCCATTTTGCAATTTTCTCTTTTTATCCATAGTTCATTAGTTTGGTCATGTCGGAGAACATTTGAGGGTGGCCTGAGTAGAATGGTTTGTGAAAATAGGAGTATATATCAATTTTTAGAGATTTTGCTTGTTTGTTAACTCCTTGTCTTTGGGATAAATGAATTTGAAGCGTAGAATTTTATGTATAAATGATAGAATCTGGTTTAGTTAATTGAAAACGTAAAATTAAATTTTGCTCATTTTAATTTATAGCAAACAAGAAATTTCAAATGGAATATTATGGAATTCATTGAATCCAAACAAATTCTAGTTTCAAATTATTGGATACTGTATGGTTCTTGTGGGTTTTTGGAGATAATACTCTATTTAACATTGTAAGAATGTGAAAATGTGGAGTGGATTTGTATACTAGCTATGGGAATAAAAATATTTGATTCTTTTACGGTCAAATGAATTCTTTTCGCAGATTTTTGAAACACCCAGTATTTATTTGCATTTGCTTGCATGTGCACCTAATTTGGGTGAATAATGTCGTTAAGAAATTGGAATGGTTAAAATAACGATATATATTTAATTCCATCGATGTGTAGGTACCCAACTCTTTTTAGTGAATTTCCTCATGCCCGTTATGCGAATTTGCCCTGTTTCCGTTTAACGGACACTGCACTCTTGCTGGATTCACAGGAGCAGAGCATACACCAAAATTATGAGAGTGATACTGTGGAGAGACTTTGTAGAGTGCTTATGATGATGAAAAGTAGGACAGTACCACTTCAATCACTATATCCTTTGAAGTGGGACCTCGGTTTGCCTGATAATTTTGAGAAAATATTGATTCCAAAATACCCTGATCATTTTCAATTTTTTAAGGCATCAAATGGTTTTGGGTGCTTACGGCTTGTGCAATGGCGGGATGAATTCGCAGTTTCTGCATTGCAGCGTAGTAATGAGAGCAAAGAAATGGGTAATGAGTATCAGAAGTTCAAGAAAGGGCAGACTACTTTGGCTTTCCCAATGAGTTTCCCAAGGGGGTATGGAGCGCAAAAGAAGGTGAGAGCATGGATGGAGGAATTTCAGAAGTTACCCTATATTTCGCCATATGAGGACTCGAGACAGATTGATCCAAATAGTGAACTCATGGAGAAGCGAGTTGTTGGGGTTTTGCATGAGCTTCTGAGCCTGACAATTCATAAGAAGACCAAGAGGAACTATTTGAGGAGCTTGAGAGAGGAGATGATTCTTCCACATAAATTTACTCGACTATTTACAAGGTATCCAGGGATTTTCTACCTCTCATTGAAGTGTAAGACAACCACAGTTGCTCTTAGAGAAGGTTACCAGCGGGGAAAACTAGTGAATCCACATCCTCTTGCTCGTCTCAGAGATAAGTTTCATTATGTGATGAGAACTGGACTTCTTTACCGGAATAAGGGTGCTAATATGATACCTGAAGATATTTTGTTGAATGATGCTGAGGATGAGATTGGAACAGATGAATCTGAGGAGGAAGAGGGTGAAACAGATGATGCCTGCTATGAGGTAACCTCTGAGATCGACGATACATCTGATGAAGGTTAGATTTTTGTCCAACAGAATCGACAGTCTTACTGTATAATCAGAACTGAAATGAACATCTGATACTGAGGTAAGGTATGAAATATATAATTCACATTGGCTTATTTTAAGTTCTTAAATACAATTATCTGTTAGTACTTTACAGGTCGACAGTCTGTTGTTAGGCCAATTATATAAAAAAGGCAAAGTCTTTCATTTTTCGAAAGTTAATTAATACAGATTACTAAACCTGCTTAATATGACAGCAAGTATTCTGATTTCACTTCTGTAAACATAAAGTTGGGAGGTGTGCCCTTTAGGAATATGAACTCGTATGCCAATTTAAATGCATAGCTAATGTTTTAATTACCTGAAGTGTGTCATTGTTGAAAACACGTTTATTTTAATAAAAAAAAAGAATAAATGAGAATATATGTTTGTTGAATATCATAAATTATTCTCGAGTAGAATGCTTATATACAGTCCAATGGGTGCTTCTTACTTAAGAATGTTGATTTTGTGCATTAGGTTGATAAATTTCATGTCTGCTGTTTTGAGATAGAATCACGACTTTCTGAGGCTTTGTAATTGCTCCGTCTTTGATAATTATATGGTGCTGCTTGAAGAATTTCTAGTTATATAACATTCAACATTTGTATTTGCAGTAGGTCATAGTGAAAATACATATGAGGGATAGACCAGGAGTTGCTCTTCTTAATTATGTATTTTATGTTGTATATGAACATCTTTTTTTTTTTTTTTTTTTTTTTTTTTTTTTTGTTTTTTTTTTTTTGGTTAAATTGTTGAACAGCATAAGTCGAAGCTTCTTAATCTTTTGTAATAGAAAACTTATGATTCCCCACTAAACTAAACTAACCCTAAGCTGTTTTTTTTCTCTGGTTTTGCATGAAAGTCACAGGGGGTGGGTTCGATCCACATACGAAGTAAATTAATGGTGGATGGTTATAAGGCACGCGGGAAATCATGCTGTAATGGTACTGGAAATCTTAGAAGAGAAACCGGCCAAACCGAGGGCCATAACAGAGGATCAAAAGATTTCAGATTTTTTTTTTTTTTTTTTTTGTTAAATTGTTGGAAGCATAAGTCAAGCTTCTTAAATCTTAATAGAAAACTTATGATTTCCACTAAACTAAACTAACCTAAGCTGTTTTTCTCTGGTTTTGCATGAAGTCACGGGGTGGGTTCGATCCACATACGAAGTCAATTAATGTGTGGATGGTTATAAGGCACCGGGAAATCATCTGAATGGTACTGGAAATCTAGAAGAGAACCGCCACCGCCATAACAATCAAAATTTCAGAGAAGCAATAAATCATATTTCTTTGTGAAGGTGAATACCATGTATTGAAGTATCATATGGACGAGTGCCACTAGCTGCTGAGTCCCGCATTCGTGATATCATTATTAAATTTAATTTTGACTGAAGAACCAATTGGTGATTCTGAAGTCGCATTCAAACAATTTGAGGCAATCCTGTTATCTTTCTGAGTCTTCTTCTTCTTCTTCTTCTTCTTCTTCTTCTTCTTCTTTACCTGCTTGTTCAATTATAATCTGAAAGTTAAATTATAGCATCTTTTATCCTTATTTATGTCTCATATATGATCGCGATGATTGGTATCCCATGTGATAGTTTCAAGACTGAGGTTACAAAACCATTGTAGAATTCATCCAATAAATATAAATTATTCATTTAGAGATTAGCTATTGTACATTAGAACATAACATCGAACTTTGGTATGCTTTACATTGAGAATTATATACACGACGGCCATGTAGGTTGTTTTGTTTTATGGTTTAGCTAAGTTTTAGCTAATTAACACCTAGAAGGCATATACTCCGTTGGTTTCAATACATTGGATAAGCCGACAAGAGCATTGAAAAACTATATATACAGCTTTCCATAGTTTGAACCAAATTAGAAGAAAACACAAACAGAAAATAATGAAGTATCAAAAATTTGATCCTTGATTCTAATGGAGAAGAAAAATTATATACTCATGAGAAAAACAAGAGTTTTTTGAGTCCAATATTATAGTGGGGTCACTAATCCCAAGCACTGGCCACACCTGGACCATATCCGGCACTGTAACCACTAGGAACAGCCGGAACCCCATATGCACTGCTATTTCCTCCACCATAATAATCTGTTGCTCTAGTAAAAGATCCCTCCCTTCTAAAGTCACGGCTGCCAAAACGGCCCCCAGTCCGTCGATTCTTGCCACCATTGTATGAAACCCTTGAAGCAAAGCGAGTAAGCCAGGCAGGTACTTCTTGATTTGCCTCTTGCATTAAATCGGCTAGGGATCTTGCCAGTGACAAATTGTTCTCATTGAAGAAAGCTGTGGCTAGACCAGTCTTTCCGGCTCGTCCTGTCCGGCCTATCCTATGAACATAATCGTCAATATCATTGGGAAGATCAAAATTGACCACATGAGCCACGTGAGGTATGTCAAGACCACGTGCTGCCACATCCGTTGCTACTAAAATTGGTGTCCTCCCACTTTTGAACGATCTTAGTGCCATTTCTCTTTCCTACAAACAAATCCATAATACTAAAATATTTAGTTCAAGATATGGCCACTGCCAGAAGAACTAAAGAGGATTCAAAACACATCAGCCGAATAAATGTTCCTATCATCATGTTATATAGAACAGTGTGTTATATTCCATCCTTCTGAAGAAATCTGAACCTAAACAACTCACCTGTTGTGTCCTGTCACCATGAATTGTTGTAGCGGGAAACCCATTCATACACAACCAATGTTCCAAAGAGTCGGCACCTTTCTTTGTCTCAACAAAAACTAATGTCAAAGATTGCTGCAAAGTCACAAGAAACTATTACCAAACAGCAAATATCAAAAAATATCTCAAAATGGTTCCCCTAAACATTTGCCCAGCATGGTTCAGAAGGCTTTAGATTTTTCATTTTCTTTTATCATTTATTGTATCCTTCCATTCATAGTCGTCTGCCTTCTTCCCATCTTTTCCTCATGATAAATTGTTCCTCAGTTATACTCTCTTTCTCTCCTAGATTTATTACCCTTCTACCCTTTGTTACTGTTATTCAAATTTAAGCAGTTGTAATTTTTAAACCAAGTTAGAAAGATCCCAGTAATCAGGCTGTTCCTAACTACTATGAACTGGTTAAATCACCAGAACAGAACAAATGAACCACATCAAATTTCCAAAAGTAGCAAATAGTTTGAATTACCTTGCCATTAATTTCAGTTTCTCTCTGTGCATGAAGAAGGTCCATGAGATGACTTCTCTTGTCAGTCTCATGAACATATTCAACTCGTTGGATGATTAAATCAGTACTAGAACCAACTCTTCCAACAGCCAAAAAGATGTAACCAGATAGGAAATCAGATGCGAGTCTCTGCATGCCAACCGAATTACAAAAAACAGTTAGATGGAATTTTAAATGTGATTGTGCAATAAATCCCAATTATTATCCTTCACAAAATAAATGGTTATCGCATCTACACTTGCTGAAATAGGAACTCAACTGTTCAATCCATAACATAAGCTATATCCCATGATGAAACCAAAAATAAAGCAACAATTCCAGAAGTCAACTTTGCATTTACCTTGAGGCAAATAGGTTTGATTTTCTTCTCTATTTTTCATCACATTTCATGATTCATTTTTCTATGAATAATAGTATACAAAATGTTCTAAAACTGCTAAAAATAGAAAACCTTTTCGTTGAGTGAAAAACTCGAGGTATCTAGATATTCCACTTGTATGTTCAAATGGAAATCGACTTTCTAGTTTTCTAAATTCGAAGAGAAAACTTGAAAATGCCTCTTCGTATAAAATCCAGTTCTCTATTTTCTTAGGAACAGTTATCGAAAATTTCCAAAAAGCAGCACACCCCCCAAAACGCTCTCCACCATAACAAAATAGATTGTTTTCATCAAACCTATTGATTATCTAAGAACTTCTGAAAGGCATCATGATATAAATATATGAAGTTCCCTGGAAGATGAGTGGACATCGATAGAGAAGACTAAAGTATCTAAAACAATACCTGTATTTCTTTTGGAAAAGTGGCACTGAACAGCATTGTCTGCCTCCTCCCAGGTGGAGGCATGTCCATTTGTTCCACTATCTTTCTAATCTGAGGCTCAAAACCCATATCCAACATCCTATCTGCCTCATCAAGTGCCAAATATCTAATCATCTGCAATGACACTCTAGCCCGCTCAAGCAAATCCACCAATCGTCCAGGAGTTGCCACAAGAATATCAACTCCTCTTTCAAGTTCTCGTAACTGACCAAGCAATAATGAACAGAAATTACACAATTAAATTATGCAATAAGCGCGAATGACAATGCTAAAGCAGGTAATAAGTGATCACAAAGATAATTTATGGTAATATGAATCCAAAACACAGTTTGAAGTATAAAAAAGCATTATGACAAATAGGAAAAATGCATGTTGCACAAAGAACAAATCAAAGCCAGCAAAACTAATTTTGTGTTACAAAGTGTAAATATATCACATCCTCCAATCTCCATGGGAAATAACCATTGTCACTTACAACTCATCTGTCTATCATATCCATAAAAAGTTAAAAAACAGCATCGAACTTTGACCAAAAGAGCAATGGAGTACAAGGGAGCAAGTAAAAAAAATTTAAAGGTTTGTCTGTTATTGCTGCTCCAGTGGCCGAGTTTGCTCATATTTATACCATAATAATATGAACCCAAGTGCCACCAATCCTAGACAATCCTATTGGCTAGCCACAAAAACTAAGAACTATATTGGAAAATAGAGGAGGCTGGGGAAGGGGACCGTTCTGTAGAGATCAAACTGGCATGCTTCTGTTAATAGTCTTGCAATCATCAGATGTACAAATAGTGTTGTATGCTCACAAAACATGCGAAAATTAAAAGAAAGCTTTATGGTTGTTGATAGATGGCTACTACTCATTTTATAAATTGGGTGCTTGCGTAGGGCTATGAAGGGCTGAGGCAGCAAGCACACACACGAGAATTTATACTGACCAAGCCTAGAGGTTGCTTTCTCGAAAACTGAGAGAGTAGCTACATAACTTGCTTTCACTGGCATTGGATATTCCAGTATGAGAAAATCATATCATAGAATTAATAATAGTGCTGTGCAGGAACTGGAAAAATTGCTGGGGCAATAAGGTCCATAACTTATCACAAGATAACAGGACAGGTCAGCCATCAAATAAAATCTAAATATTTGATGGTTTATTGAATTCAGGTTCTGGTGTGAAATGTCAGAGCAGTCATGAAAAAGAAATTTATAGCTAATTAAAACCTTATCTGCACCTCAACCTATAAAATTAATTTATAGCCACTTAATTAGAATTGTTTTGAGAATATAATCAGAAAGGGAACCAGAAATGTTGACACATTCAACAATGCACAAATTCAAACAATCACATTATGTGTGTACATGCTTGAAGCATTGAATAGGGATGAGTAGGGACAAGTACAAACAAAGAAGCTAGATTGGAGCGGGAAAACAACTAGCAAAAGCCATCCAAAACATTTTGAATGCAAGCAAAACTAACTATACCCATAAGATTAGTGGCACAAAAACAAGCACATAAGGCTCACAATATCAGACCATAGTAGAAGCATGCCTCTGTTCCAAGAACCATAATATCAATAATGTAACAGTGAGAAAATGTAAATTATGAACAACGAGCATATTTTGTTTGATTAATTAAAAACAATTTGAACCATGTGCATCTGGCGACATCTTAGTTCAGTAAGTAGAAAAAGAATCAATTTTCTCACTATCACCAATTCAAAAAAATAAATAAATCAATCAATCAATAAACTGAACTGATTTGAATGTGGTTTCTTTTTGCTCATCAGACATACATACTGCCTTTCACCATTGGTGTGTCTCACATTTGATCATCTCAAAATCTCAATTTTTGAAATTTAGCTAGAAATTCCTAAATTTTATAATTGATCTAAGGTAGATTTTCAACCAACAAGAATTAATTCAAAATACTAAACGAGAAAACAATTTACTCCAATCATTTTGCTATTGAACTTGTTAAGTTTTTTTTTTTCCTTAGATTGGACTGTTCTCTTATCTCAATTCATTTATAGAACGAGACAATGGGAAAGATTTGAAGCAACAAAAACAGATAAATTTCCAGTAAACCTTTGTAAGGGCAAAGGATTTGAGAAGAAAATAAACATGTTTTCACAAATAGATAAGAAAGATGTCATGTGATCCAAACCTGTTGGTTGATTGGCGCTCCACCATAAGCTACTACCACTTTTACACCAGTTTGATAGGAAAACTTTTTGGCTTCATCATGTATCTGCAATTAGATTGTAATAGAAAAATTTAGGACACAATGGCACATTAGAAGGTTGCAAGTCCTCAAATGCACGATTAAATTTGAACCACAAATCCTGAAACACACGAGTAAATTTCAACCACACCTGACAAGAGAGCTCCCTTGTAGGGGAGAGAATAAGTGCAAGTGGGTATACGGTCCTCGGTCCACGCGGTCTCTGTACATACTGCTCCCGCATAATTCCACTAATAATTGGAAAGCAGAAAGCAGCTGTCTTCCCTGACCCTGTCTGAGCACAAGCCATCAAATCCCGTCCCCCAATTATTATTGGGATTGCATGACGCTGAACTGGAGTGGGCTTCACATACTTACATCTTCGAATATTTTGATTCAATGCCTCACCCAAGTCTATCTCTGCAAAGGTATTCACAGGCATTGGCACATTGTCCCCACTAGTCTCCACTGGAATATCCTCATAAGCATCAAAATTAATGCCAGTATTTTCTTGTTCACCAAGAGCGCCATCCACATCACCATCATCATTGCCAAAAGGATTAACTTCACGATCTCTCACACGGTCCCACCCACTACTCTTATTGTTCCAACCACTACCACCACCTCCACCAGTTCGACCACCAGAACCATATCCTTGACGGCCAAAATCTGGTCTAGAACCTCCACCCCATCGGGAACCACCTGGTGCAGGTCCACCATAACCTACACGATCATTTGCATTGGCATTGGCATTGACGTTGACATTGACATTGACATTGGCTGTTGACTGAACAGCAGACGAGGAAGCAGGGACATCATTAGAAGGTGCCCGGTTACGGAGGTGTGGTGGAATATAAGTGGCACGGGTTGGACGTGGCTGGCCATTGTTACCAGAATTAACAGACTCCACACTATCAGAAGCAGAGTTAGCCACAGAATCCGCCCATGAAGTTCTCATGCTTTCTAGAAATTACAATTTACAATTTTATTTTCCACAATTAGAACAACTCCTCCTCCAAAGTCAAATCACCTCTTATCCTTTAGCTCTAATAAAAATTCTGCATAAAAACCCTGATAAACACCATGCATTTCAAAATCATAACAAAACAGTGTAATACAATAATCAATCCAATTTCAAGCAAAATCTAACTTCAAAAAAACACAAACACAAGCAAAATTTTTAAAAAAATATGCATTTATAGATGCTATAATATACGAATAAAAACGCAATTAAGCACAAAAATCAAGAATCAACAAGCACATAAATTAGAACAATCTAAGAGCTCAAAAATCAGATAAGATCTTGAAAACAGAAAAACAAAAACAAAAAATCAAAAAAGCATACCGATAAACACAATGCAATTACAGAAATTGAAAGCTAGCAACCACCCAACCAACAAACAACAATTCCGCTAGAAGAAGAGAGAGCGTACATTTTCTTCTGTGAATAGACGTTAAAGGAGAAAAAAGTAAACCAAAATTCAAATCCAGAACGCAACTAGCAGCCATTAACAAAAATAGATAAGTCTCGTATATATATAGAGAGAGAGAACCTGTTGGCCGTAATTTGATTAGAACTGAAAATGCGAGAAACCCTAGATTGTTTGGGATCAGACACCAAGCTAAAATAGCGCTTATTTTTCTTTCGGGAGGAGAGAGATTATGTATTTATATACTGCTCCGGTACTCCCTCTGTCACACAATAATTGTCTACAATCATTAATTAATTCTAAAATTTTATTTAAGAATTAGCAAATTAAAAAATTATTTTTGCATAATTCTTTTAAAAAGTGAATTTATATTTAATTACCTAATTATACTCAAATAAAACTTTTATCGTTATTATACTACTACATTCATTTATTAAATTTATCTATTAAACACTATATAATTAAATTCCAATGTTGCCTTCATTTTCTTTGACTAACCAAAACTCTTCTGGTCAAGAAAACTCGAACACGACACATTTCACACTTCACACAAATGAGAATACCAATCAGCACATAAATAAAAATACCAATCAAATCGCACTTAATTATACTAATTATTATTAGCATGAGAGAAAAATACAGCACAAGTCAAAGATGGATTGTTTCTAATCTATTCCCTCATATTAGATAAAAAAAACTCAGTCCGAGCTAACACACGAGTCATTTTGTTCATTATGTAAAGAATGGAATATCCATATATAACTATGGGATAATTCATTTCTTTTAAAATTTTCTACATGCTACATACATTTATCGAGGACAATAATTATATTTTACGTGCAATGAATTGAAAAATAAAGTTTTACTAGAATCAAAACTTATATAATTAAATTTTAAAAATATGAGTTTTGCAAGTATATTTGACTATAACTGAAAGAAAAAATAGCAATTCATTCTTAAAAAAATAAAATTAATAAATCATTAAATAGTAGTATCTCATCAATCTAATTTTTCTTAAGTTTTCCACATCAGATCAGGACGGAGTCTATTGGTTTTTTGCCCCTTTGGCCTTTTGTGTTGTGTGTCCCAAACGAAAGAGAGAAATATCTTATAAGTGAACGGTGTCCGTACGACTTTTAGCCAACGGTGTTACTCTTCTTACCTAACTTGAGTGTTGCTGACAACAAGAAAATTGGGAATTCAGTTACTTTTTAGCGTGTTTTTTGTTTTATTAGCATGAAATGAGAGGTAGATAAGTTATATTTTATGTTTACTATAAATATCAGTACTTATACTCATGTTTTTTGGAACCAAACACTCCGCTTATCCAAAAATGTAGCCATTATCATCATATTCAAGTTATAGTTAAAAAAATTTGAACTCTTTAATAACTAAATTTGGCCATTTAAAAAAAACTAAGTTTGGATTTTACGACTTATATTATCTCCAACTTAATTTTCAAAAATTAGAACTTATTTAATAATAATAAGTTGAAATTGAACTCATGACAAGTGGCTTAAGTGGTAAGGAAAATTCAAATTCAACAAATAATTTATGCGATCTATGCATTTACCACTAGGTTATACTCGGCGTATTAACGATAACCATCTTTATTTTTAAAAAAATATAGTGGATAGATCACACCATAGTGCTAAAATTTGATTAATAAAGTTAACAAGTTGATTTTTTTTTTCAAACTGAAATTGGCATTTTTTGTTATTTTGGAAACCATTTTACTTGAAAGTTGCATTTACGTAGGGCTATAAATGAGACAAGCTGCTCGTAAGCTACTCGACGCTCGCCTGGGTAAAAGCTAGCTCGCTATCTAAATAAGACAAAATCAATTAAAACCTATATTAAAACAACGTCGTTTTGGTTAATAAATTTCGAGCTCGAGTTTAGATTTCCGAGCTCGAGTATATCTTTATCAAGTCGAGCTCGAGCTCATCAAAACTTAGCTCGGCTCATTTATAGCTCTACATTTACGTTTATATTTTTTGGTTCAAAAAAAAAATCACTCATTTTAGAATAATTTCATTAATATAAATTATTTTCAAAAGATGCACAAATATTAAATACCCTTTTATTAAAGATGAACTGAGTAAACAAAATGGTGCCTAATATTTGAATTGCGAATGGTAAATATTGAACGTAATATGAATTTGATGCGTGTTACTGTCCGAGTGAAACTAAAGAATGCTATCTCCAAAAAAGAAGGATTTTTTCTAAGACAAGGAGAGAAAAAAAAAAAAAAAAAAAAAAACAAGTGTTGACTTAAGTTGGTTTATTAGGAATTAAATTTCAATTTTCAACAAATAATTTTTATGGCGATCTATGCATTTACCACTAGGTTAATACTCGGCGTATTAAACGATAACCAATCTTTATTTTAAAAAAATTATAGTGGATTTAGTATTTTCTCGACACTATTTAACAAGGTAAACGTGGATTTTGGCACGTTAAGCAGATTTTTTATAAGACCATAGTGCTGGGTAAAGGATTTGAATGGGGTTAATAAAGTTCAAACATAGTTGTAATTTTTTTTTTTCAAACTGAAATTGCATTTTTTGTTATTTTTATGGAAACCATTTTTACTTGATATTATGTATGCATTTTATACGTAGGGCTATAAATGAGAAAGCTGCTCGTAAGCTACTCGATAACGCAATCGCTTTTATCTAATTTTAGTAAGTAAGTTTCTGGGTTGAAAAAGCTAGTCTCAAGCTATCTATTTATATAAGTCAATCAATTAAAACCTATATATAACATTTTACGTCGTTTTGGTTAATTTATAATTTCGAAATTAGCTCAGAAGTTATTATTATGAATTTTTCGATTAGCTCGAGTATATCTTTTTATCAAGTCGAGCTCGAGCTCATCAAAACTTAGTCTCGGCTCATTTATAGCTCTATCAGTCATTTAACAGATTTATGATTTGTTTGGTTTTCAAATAAAAAAATCACTCAATTTTTAGAGGTATATTTTCATTAATATAAATTAATTTGTTCAAAAGATTGGCACAATCATCTTACTCACCCTTTTATTAAAGAGTTGAACTGTAGTAAATCAACAATGAGATAGTTCCATAATAATTATAGAAGTTGCGGAATGGTATTTAATATTGAACGTAATATGAATTTGATGCGTTGTTTTACTCTTCGTTCCGAGTGGTAAGATAACTAATTGATGCCTAATCTACAAAAAAGGAAGGATTTTTTCTTAAGACATTTTATGTATGGAGAATGAAAAAAAAAACCACAAAAAAAAGTGAAAACTTCGCCAACTTCATTTAATAAATTAAGATTAAAAGTCGCAATGAATTCGATGTATTTTTTATTTTATAATACATAAAAAGTATATATACCTTTGACGCTCCGCTATATTTGCTATAGCTATAGGAAAAAAAAAAAAAAAAAAAAAAGGAAAATTGAAACTATATAAATTAAGATTAAGTCCAAAACGATATTTTTATTTTTATATAAACGTTAAATATATTATCGTGTATTGCTATATTGTCAATTTATTAAATGGATCGAATTGATTAATTTTTTAGGTGACTTCTTGTAATATGTTTATATTGACCTTAATTGTATTATATACATTTAATATGACACTAACACCATCCACCAATATGAATTGTCGTTCTATGAATTGCAAATAGGAAAAAAAAGTAATGGAAATAATTTTTGTTTATGAATTAATAATTTCTTATCAAAATATCAAGTATAGGTTTGAGGAAAAAGAAAAGATAAGAAAAAAAAAAATCAAAAATTTGTGTATTGACTATTTTCATCAGGTCTTGCGAGTCATTAGTCTAGTGTAGTAAGCGTTGCTTGTGTTCTCAAACAAAAATAATGTTCATTTCAATTTCATAAATTCAATTATAAGAAATTGAGTATAATTAAATTAAATTTCAGTAAACCCGATAAAATTTAAATAATTTTACAAAATTCACAGAATTAAATAAATAAATAATGCTTGTTTTGGTCCTTTTATCAAATTTTGGTCTTTTTTGTGACGTGCGTTGCACGTTGACTATGCTCGTTATATATTTATACTCTTTTAATTTTTTTTTATCTATATAATATATAATAAATTAAAGTATAAAAAGTTTTTAATATAGATTAAAATACAATAATAATTTACATTGATTCACGTATTGAATTTTGTCGTATAAGTTACTTGTATGTTTCTTCTTATATAAATAAATATCAATTTTTTTTTTTATAATGAATAGTTTCCAAAATAAAATTCCTCCAATTCCTATGCCTAATATTCAATTTCCTAATTTTTATCTAATTGCAAGATTCTTAAAACCTTAATAAGTGTCCAAAAGGAAAAGTTAAATAATCCCTGCATTTCTAACCTAACTACTCCTCAACCCCAAATTCAATATCTACATCCACCTATTATTAATGAATAATAATAAATTATTTTTTACTGCTAGATAAGAAAAAAAATGAGCAGATATCTGAATTGATAATAATAATTATTAGGCTATAATGAATATTACTCACCCAGTACATTAGAGAAAGGAATATATGCACATATACAAAAAAATTCTTGAAACTCCAAAAAGTGACCCAAAATATAAATATATAGTTATAGTTTTTTTTTCCAGTTTTTTATAAACATTCATTTATAAACATTATTTTCTTTCGAGTCAAACAAATTTAAAATATAATAGAAAAATATTAAGAAAATAAAAAATATTTAATTATCAAGAGATCATCTATTTATTGTAGAGAATATATAAATCTCTTACTAAATTATAGTGATAATAGTTACAAATTAATTCAGTAATGAAAATAAAATAAAAAATTATTATCAAGAATATAACTCTTTTTGGAACTCAACGTATAACAAGAAACAGATTATATTAAAAAAATTACCAATTTGAATTTCAAAAATCAACCCTTTTTTAATTGAAATGTTATAATTTAATGAAATTTGATGTTGATAGACGAAAAAAAATTATAGCCAAGTCAATAAATGAAAAATATAAAGCAAATAATGGTATGATCTAATTTTATTTCTCTATTTTTATAAGTTGCAAATTTAAAATAAATAAATAAATAAGTTACTTAATTAATAAAAAAGATTACATAAAAGAAATGTTATATTCTCGCTAAATAAACCTTGAATTTTAAGGAATAGTATACTTTTTTTTTGTTATCTAGATGTATTTATTTAAAAAATAATTTTTAGAAATTATATCCAATCAAATAATAAATTTGTAATTTTTTTTTTGTTTTAACCACAG